TCAAAATCAAGGGCACTTGTAATATGGAGTCATCCAGAATTAGAACCCAAGGAACTTGAGAACCTGGCATTGGAAAAGTTATTTTCTCTGCTGAGTTCTCAATCTCTTCACTAGAAAAAGGTGATGGGATTGGGATGGGGGTCATTGTGGTGCTAGATTTCTGACACCATTCACATATCTACTGCTCAGTGTTGTCTTTTGAGACTGTGAGGTGGGCAATGTAACCTGACTGACTGTGCAGATGAGGAAATGGAGGCTCTGAGAGGTGAAGTGACTGGCCCAAGGTCATGAAGCTCAGGGGGGCAGGGAGAGACATCAATCCCAGATGCATTCCGGATGCCCCCCCCCCAGATATGTATGGAGTATGTGGGCAATACATGCATGTCCTGTTTGCACATTGCTTTACACACTTCCTACCTGCTTTCATGTACAGTCTACACCAGCTACTGACAGGGCTGAGCACATGTTCTCACCCCTATGACTCAGGTGAGTAAACCAAGGCCCAGAGAGATGATGTAACTAAGAAAGCATACCTCAGAGCTTGGGCACCCTCAGAGTACATCTAGTCCAATCCTGTGCCTTGAGAGATAGAAACTCTAAGGAGTCAGAGAGAGAAAAGGTGGGGCCAAGGTCACTTGTGGAGATAGAGGCAGAGCTGGCTCAGAGACCCCAGGCAAGTCGCTTCCCTTCTCCGAGTCTGTTCTGCCATGTGTGCCATGAGGAACAGTAACCCCTGCAGAGTATCAGCGAGATCGGAAGGAGATAGTGCACCAAAGTACTGGGCCCAGGGCCTGGTGCTGATGGTGATGAAGATGACGAGGAGGAGCAGGATGGATGCCCAGGCAATCGTCAAACCAGACGTCTCAGAGGGCTGGGAAGGTACTGGCAGGATGAACTTCGGTGGTAGGAAGCCATGAGGGGTGGGGTTCTGGCTCAATGAAGGGAAAGGTAGGGGCAGCCTGGGTGGGTGGGAGGGTGGGTGTCATCAGAGAGTGCTGAGAGGTGGTGCTATTTCCCCCAACAACACTGTGAGCCCCTCGAAGGCATTGGGAGTAAACTGCAGTGGGCAGAGCACACAGTTGAATCAGAGGGTTCTGGATTTGAAGCCCAGTGCTGCTACTTCCTGGCTGTATGCCTTAGGGCAAGTGTCTTCCCTCTCAGAGCCTCACTTTTCTCATCCATGGAATGGGCCTGATCATCTCCACTCAGGGCTGTCTAGTAAGTAAAACCTAGGCCCAAACAAGAAACGGTAAGTGAATGTTCAGAAAACTTTATGCACAATAGTCAATAACTGGAAGCAAGTGAATTGAGAAATGCTTGTCCATCAACAAGAGTGAGAGGAGTCAGAGGGCGCAGGCCTGGGTGGGGAGAAAGCTGTGGGAGCTACCTAGGTGCACGCGCACCTCATCCAAGGGCCCTGGCGATGAGTAGGGTCTCAGAAAACCCTTGCTGAGATGCATCTGGGGGGAGCCTGTGGAAGGCCCCAGGCTGGGGCAGGAGGGAGGCCTGCCTTGGTGTCATGGTTGCCCCAGGCTGGGGCAGGAGGGAGCCCTGCCTTGGTGTCATGGTAGGCCACCTCCAAGGCGACCAGCCTAACCCTCCTAGGGGACCGACAGTCTGGCTGCATTCCCCATGGCCCTCCTGACTACTCTCTGCTCTCTTGCTCCCTGACCAGGCTGCTGTCAGCACTTCCCCCTGCAGGGTGGGAGGGAGTGGGCCCCTGGGAGGTTGACACTGGGGAAGGTGGAGTGGTCAGGGAAAAGTATTGTAATCTGCAGGCCCAGGGACTTGGTGCCCTCCCCTAGCACCCTGTCTCTGACACTGCTTTCTCCTCCTTTCCAGATGAGCTGCCATATCTCAAGTGTCCTTTGCACACAGTGCTCAAACTCACACCTGTGGCTTATGGTGAGCGCCCCATCTTCATCTGGGGAAAGGCACACAGAGGCCATGAGCATGCCTGCAGTGCTTACCATTTGTCCACCAGAGTCCTGGGGGAGGTTCACTGGGTGGGTAGTTAGATGTCCTGGTGGAGGCAGGACTGGTGGTAGCAAGATGAGAATGGAGGACTGGGATGATCTCTAAAATAGGGCCTGCCCCCAGCTTTCTCTATCTTTACCAGAACACTGATCATAGAGCACCAAGTTATACAGGTGGTGGTGGGTCCTCAAAGAGGACCAGAAGAATAAGTGTAGGTTGGGGCCAGATTGAAGAAAAGGCACAAAGACTAGCCTGGACAATTTAGATTCTCTTGGGATATTAGTTAGGTGCAAAATGTTTATGAGCAGGTAAGAGAGAGCTCAAATCTCTTCTGGGGTGTGAACAGGGGAGACTGTTCTGAAGCCCAGAGTAGAGTGCAATCCACAGGCATGGAGTTCAGGGGGCTTCCACAGGCATCAGGCCTCCTCTGCCATCCCAGGCCCCAATGATATCACCCCCAGAACTCCCTTGTGACCTTGTATATGGGTAACTATTCTCCTTTAAATAAACTTTATCTGGGACTGGTGGCCCCAAGACAGTGGCCCCAGGACTCTTCCACCACTTCAGCACCTGACACAGCTCAGAGCTGGTCTAAATTCCCCTCCCTACGGGGCAGTCACAACTGCACACAGTAAGGAACTGGGGGTGTGAGTGGTGATGGGTTGGGAAAGGAATGGCACTTTAGGGAAGACCTGTGCTGCTCTTGGGGGTTTATGGATGGACGGGTTGTTCTTTTTGAGGCTGCAAAGTGGAGTCCATCTACCTGAATGTGGAGGCTGTAAACACACACCGGGAGAAGCCTGAGGTAGGTGAGGGACTCCGACACCTAAGCTGGCACATGACGAAAGTACCCTTCCCCACAGAAAGGCCACCCCAGTCCCACAGACCTTGGGTATTTCACACCATCAAGTAGAATAACCAGCACCCAGAAATGCTGGAACCACAGCCCAGACTTGGAGGTACCATAGAGATGCAGGGCCAATAAGGCCTCAGGCTGAGATTCCCCCAGGCCTGCCTGAGAAAAAGGTCAGGATCCACGCCTATCTGAGGGAGGTGAGCCTGACAGTGAGGACAACAAACAAGGGAGGGTCTGGGACTCCACACCGTTGTCTCCTTCCTATTAATCCCGGGTTCTCTCCACTCAGAATGTGGATATCACCCGAGAACCTGAGGAAGCCCTGGACACCGTCCCTGCCCACTACTGAGCCCTTTCCAAGAGGTCAAACTTCCTCTTTCCTCACTGTCTTCCACATTTAAGAACTGCTATCCTTGCTTTTTTCTTACTCTGAGAATACTTTGTACTTCGCCTCACTGAGAGCCCTGCTTCCAGTGAAGAAGCCTTCAGGAGCTCCAAAACAAGTCTTGATTTTTATTCCCTGATCAATAAAAACTTCTCTTACTGCCTACAAAAGGAGAGAGTAAGTCATCGTGAACCTTCTGCTACAGGATCAAGATTCTGACCCTGTGAAGTAGCTCTGGTGCTGTGGGGGTGTGGAATGGGTGAGAGCTTCCTGGAGCAAAGGGTTCTGGGGTAAGTCTGTGTGACTGCCTATGGGCCTTGTTCTTTGGTGGGCAATGTACCTGGGAATATGACACCATCATCCCTATACTCAGAGAAGCTATACTTGGACCAAAGTGCTCTTATCTCCAATTCTTGCTGCCATCCTGAATGATATCACTGTCCAAATAAATTGTGCAAACAATACCCTGATCTCCCAGTCCCCTGACCCTGTCAACTTCACTGACTACTCACTCCATGGATGTTGGCATCATCTAGACATCTCCCCAGTCTGATTTCTTAAAGACAGGCATCCTACTATCTGACCACCGACCCCTAGTCTTTACAACTTTCTGTGTCATCCACAGGATCCCTAGAACCCTACCTCCCACACAGTAGGCATTTCTGAGCAGGTACCAGCAACCCAGTGATGAAAAGACAGACTTATACACTCACTGTCTTTGTTCCTTTGTCTTTCTATCACCACCACCAGCAAGACCCAAACCTTGTATAATCCACATTGCCTTTTTTTGTTGTTGTTGGAATCTACTACAGGGTAGCTGTTGAAGCAAATCTACATTTATCTGCTTCCACAGCCACCCTTAAATCCTGTTCAAAGTCAGAGTCACCCTCTATTTTCTGGCACTCTATCCTATCCCACCTTCTCAGGGATGGGCTACTTCAGTCAATTTTTAAATATTCCTTATCTATCTCCTGTCCTTTCTGTTGACTTTTGCCTCCACAGTCTATACAACATATTCAGGTCTCTCTCCTGTCCCAATAAAACCCTCCCTTTTTCCCTTGTCCACCTCTACCTACCTCCCTCTCTATCCCTTTATTCTTTCACAAATACCTCAAAAAGAATCCATAAGACTGTCCCGAAACCTCTCCCTCTGCCTTCTGTTCTAGGTTTTCCCCCTCCATATCTTTATTCAAGCTATTATCCCCTTGCCTACCATGCTTTCCCCAGGTCTCTCTCCTACTGAAGTCATACTTGCCTTTTAGCCTAAAGCTGGAGCCCACCTTCCCCAAATGGCTATGCTGATCTCTAGCTCTTCTGTGAACCCAAAATGTCTCACAACAGCCTACATGCAATAAAATAAAGAAAAAACTCCAATTAATTTTGCAAATTTAATGTAACTCTGATACCAAAATATGGCAGTGCACAAAAAGCAAACAATAAAGTAGAATCAGCAACAAGATTTTTCATAGTGCGCCACTTTCAGCTGATTGGTAGTATCTGCTGAGACTGCTGTGTGGACAAAGATTCCAAGGATGTACCTTGGCTCCATGGGATGGACTGCTGCAACTCATTAGTGGTATCTGTAAACATGGGAAATAAACCTGAAAACAAACTACCAAACAGGAACATATTTTAGCACTAACTATACTGTTGTTTCATACTTCATTGTCCTTATCTCCCCACCCTGCCCTCCCACCTCAGGGTTTCTTATAACATCTCCCAGCTCTTTATCCATACCCATGGGCCTTGGCTGTAGAAATGCTATAATTACCTGAAACCTCACTAGCCATAGAAGCTACAGGCACCAAGGCTAGTGGCTCCACCACCAAAGCCAGCACCATTGCTCGGTGCACCGCCAAAGCCAGCACCACTTCTCGGTCCACCGCCAAAGCCAGTACCACTGCTCAGTCCACCCCTGAAGCCAGCACTGGTGCACAGTCCACCGCTGAAGCCAATGATAGAACCGGGTCCCCCATTGAAGTCAGTGCTGGTGCTGGGTTCACCAGTAAAGCCAATGCTGGTGTTGAAACCACTGCCAAAGCCTATGATGGCACTCAGTCCTCCATCAAAGTTGGTATTAGGCCCACCGCCAAAGCCATCACTGATGCTGAGTCTACCACTAAAGCCAGCACTAGTGCCAAGTGTGCTGCCAATACCAGCATTGGTGCCCAGCCCACCACCAAAGCCATTGCTGGAGATCAGTCCACCACCGAAGTCAGCACTGGTGCCTAGTCCACCACCGAAGCCAGCACTGGTGCTCAGTCCACCACCAAATCCAGTGCTGGTACTTAAACCATTGCCAAAGCTAAAACCCACACTGATGTTGGGTCCATTGCCAAAGCTGGCACTGGTAGTTCCACTAAAGCAGTTGCTGGTGCTAGGAGGGCCACCAAAACATAGATTGGTATTAGACACATTGCCAAAGCAGAGGCTGGTGCTGGGAGCTCCACCAAACCCAATGCTGGTGCTGGGAGCACTGCCAAAGTCCGTAGCGGTGCTAAGTGCCCCACTGAAGTCAGCGCTGGTGCTGAACACACTGCCAAAACCAGAGTTGATGGGGGGTACACCAATGAAACTGGCACTAGTGCTGACAGCACTGATAAAACAAGCACTGGTGTTGAGTGCCCCACTAAAGCCAACACTGGTGCTGCGTGCATCACCAAAGCTGGCATTAGTGCCAAGAGAGCCACCGAAGTAGACGCTGGTGCTTAGTGTACCACCAAAATCAGCAGTGGTGCTGGAATTACCACCAAAGGAGACACTGGTGCTGAGTATGCTATCAAAACCAGTGCTAGGAGAGCCACTGAAGCAGATATTAGTATTGAGTGTGCCACCAAAGCTGGCACTAGAGCTGGGAGAGCCACCAAAGCAGACACTAGTGCTGAGTGTGCCACCAAAGCCAGTGCTGGTGCTAAGTGCACCACTAAAGACTGCACTGGTGCCGTGTGCACTGCCAAAGCTGGTGCTGGCAATGAGCGTACCACTAAAGTCAGCAGTGGTACTGAGTGTGCCTCCAAAGCCAGAGCTGGCTCCACTGCTGAAACTGGTACTGGTGATGAGTGGACCACTGAAACAAGAGCTGACCCCACCACCGAAGCTGGCACTGGTACAAAGGGCACCGCCAAAGCTAATGCTGGCTTCACTGCTGAAACTAGAGCTGGTGCTGGATGTGCCACCAAAGCTAAGGCTGGCTCCACCACTGAAACTGGAGCAAGTACTGGGTGTGCCACTAAAGCTAATACTGGCTGTGCTGCTGAAGCTGGCATTGGTGCTGAGTGTGCCACCAAAGCTAATGCCAGCTCTGCCACTAAAGCCACCACTGGGGCTGGGTACATCACTGAAGCTAATACTAGCACAATCATGGAAGCTAGCTCCCACACTAGCTCCTCTGCTGAAGTCGATGTTAGTGCTGGCATCTGCCTTTTCTTGAGCTCTGGCCTCAATTTCAAATGAAATTCTGCTCCAGACCTGAGCATCATCACCTAACTCTTCCCTTGTTAGGCAGTCGATATCCATGTCATCCCAATTCCAGGACCCAGCCACAGCTTCCTCTCCAATTCCCATTTGGGCTCTTGCCTCCGCCCTGGCCTCAGCCTCAGCAGCAGCCACAGCTGCAGCCTGGACTTCCATCTCCACTGCCTCCCAGTACTGAGCAGCCCAGTCTTTGGGGTCTTTCTTCTGTACCTGAAATGGGAATGATAATCATTATAAGGAAAACAACATTTATAATCATATATTAAGTACCTACAATGGGCACTGTATAAAACTAACAGCAGTACTTTTTTTTAAGTTCTTAGTTATTGGGGCTCTATCATGGGTCAGTCTTGATCCAATTTCAGCTCTGATAACTTAGGTGCTGTGTGACCTTGGATACATGATTTAACCATATTCAGCATAGTGTCTTCATCTGTAATATGGGAAATATTATGAATTGAATGTCTGTGTCCCCCCAAAATTCGTATGTTGAAGCACCAGGCACCAATGGGACTGTATTTAGAGATAGGATCTTTATGAAGGAAAATTAAATGAGGTCATAAGGATGAGGCCCTGATCCAAGAGAACTAGTATCCTTATAAGAAGAGGCTCTCTCTCCACCACGTGAGGACATATAAGAAAGTATCCATCTACAAGCCAGGAAGAGAGGCCAATAGAAAAATCAAATTTTCCACACTTCAAACATGGACTTCCAGCCTCCAGAACAATGAGAAAATAATATGGGACTTCCAGCCTCCAGGACTGAGAAAATAAATTTCTGTCATTTAAGCCACCTAGTCTTTTTTTTTTTTTTATGGCAGTCTGAGCAGACTAATACAAAGTATGAAGAATGAATGAAACAATGTAAACTTTATGTTGAGCAGCATTCTGGTACATACATGAAGTTCCATATGTTTATATATGAACCGCAGGTATATGCACTATACCTGCCCATCTCTTCACATAGCCTGCTCCAATCAGGGGCAACCCATACCCTTCATATGCCAAGTCAGGGCAGATTTCCTTTTACCTTGCATGCAAACTTGAGGACTTTCATCTTGCTAGTCTCATGGTAGGAGTGCAAGCCCCAGAAGAACTCATATTCAGGTGGTCTGCTGTTAGAGACTCTCGTACTCCAGGTACCTTGGAGAAAGGAAATGAAACTGGCTTCTAACCAAGCAAATCTGTTGTCAAACTACTGGGCACCAGCTGGCAACCTCCTTCAAATAAATATTAAACTTAGCTCCTGGAGAAGGATTTCCAAGACCTTCCTTCCCCAGACTCACTCCCAAAAACTGTTCGTGGTCTTGGCCTCCAATATTGAGCCATTTACCACTGGCTCTGTGCAAAGGAGTCACTTTGTGCTGTATAGAGAGAGAATGATGTCACAGGAAAGCTGAAGTATCCTGCCATTTGTGAGGCCTAAACCCAAGTTCCTGTTTAGTGTGTTGTAAACAAAGGAGCCATTATTCAGCACCCTGCTCTGAGCACACCCCATAACAAGGGTGGCCTTGTGTTTGATCTGGCCCAGCCTTGGAATGGTCCACCCATGGGAATTATGGACAGGACTGGTTTAGGGCACAAGATGCCCATACCTCTAAAGCTAATGTAAAAAAAAGGGCTGCCCAAGCACTTTCTGAACCATACTAGCACGCCCAGAACACTTCAGGGCCTGACAAACACCACTTACTTCTGCTTCACAAACTCATCTGTGATGAGTTTCCTCACTTCCCCAAAGAGCGAATGCCTCATCCTAACAATGGGAAAAATAACCCATGAACAGAGGTCAAAACTTTCCAGATGGGAGCAGAAGCATTTCCCAAAAGAGAAGAGACCTCTCCAGCATATAAGGCCATCTCAATGAAGCCAGGAAAGTAGTGAACACATACATGGTCACTAGAAGCAGGCAGCTGAGGCTAAATGAATGGTTCTTTGTCAGAGGTGCCCTGAAGGTGTCTCTTAAATCTCATCTTAGAACAAACAGGGGACATAAGGGAGAGAGGGAGCAGAGAATACAGGACCATTTCCCCATCTACCCAGATCAGAGCCCTGGGCCCTCTACCCAGTCCGGCACCCCCGCCCACTCCACCAGACCACCAAGCTGATGCAATCCTGGGACCATCCTCTCTTGCCAAAGGACAATATGGACAGCAAGTGCTGAGAGCGCTCAATCATACCCAGGGCAGAGCCCCAACTTGTGCAGCACCTCCCAGATGACAGCTGCAAGGGGAGGCAAGGGGAGACAGGGACAGAAAATGAACACGTGGAATTCCAACCATAGTCACCCATTCAGCTGCATGCCCAGCCACTCATCCTCATTGGCCTTGTTGCCATTCATAAAAATGACACTCAGAATCACCATGAGAAGATCTAGTTTGGGTGTATCCTTGGTCCTATGGGAACAATAGGATAGAGAGAATATTTATGTCCAGCAGCCATCTGCAAAAAACACCAGCCAGTGCACTAGGCTAGCCTCTCCCAGATTCCTCGGATATGGGAGAGTTCTGCCCAGTCTATACTTCAAGCTCTATGTGACCCTGGGCAAGGCACTTAGACTCTTGAGCCTCAGTCTCCTATTCAGTAAAATGGGAAAATTACATCCTCCCCTCCCCGGGTTGCTGAGAGGATGGAAGAGATCCTGTCAACCAAGTATGATCCAGGTACTCAGTCAATATGAGTCCCTTCTTTTTCTCCCAGAACTCTCAACCCCAAGAGAATTCTAGGCACAGCTCCACTGAAGCTCCTGCCCTTCAAGCATCATCATCTACCCACACCAGGATGCCTGCCCTTGAGAACCACTCTACCAAGGCCGGTAGGAAGAGAAGCAATGACAGGTCTGCTTTTCTGGGAAGCTTCTGCAGAAATAGAAAACGTGACAGTAGGAATGCCCTGCCCCAGGCTTCCACACCCTTTAGTCAATCATAACCAGGCACAACTATTGTGTGCAGGGCTCCAACTACATGCAGGAGATGGAACAGGGGCTTTTTAGGCTCTATCTTTCCTGGACCCCCTCCCACCCTAGCCCTTTCCCAGCTTACGTTCCGGTATGCCTGTAGAGGATTCCTGAGTGCTGATGAGAATATACAAGCTACTCTGCTTATCAATTTCCTTCAGATTGACTCGAAACATCTGCCAAGTAAAAGAATAACCTGTAAGATCACAAAATTCAGCTTACGCATCAATGAGCTTCCTGAGCATCCCACAGCTCCCTGTTTACCTAGGGGTGTGTGTGTATGTGTGTCTGTGTGTCTGTGAAATCCGTAAGATAATGCACATAAAGCACTTAGCTAAGTGGCCAGCACACAGCAAACAGGCAACAGATGTGCTATTATTATTAACATCATCCTTGTGATTAATGGGAATCCAGGGAGACAGAGATTGAGGAATGGAAGGGAGAGGTGAGCATGTGAAATACATTATAAGACTTGTTCAGCAGCAGACAGAAGCCAAGACTAAGTTAGCTGGCTTGAGTCCTACCTGTACTTTTATCACTGACTCGCTGTGTGATGCTGGACTAGTCTATAACCCTCCCTAGGCTACCATCTGCCCATTTGCACAGTGATGGAGCTGGATTAGAAAGTCTCTGTGGTCCCGCAAGAAGAGACACGTATGTCTTTGTTTGATTCAAGGCTTTGCCATTGCATTCATTCTCCCAGGGCTGCCCCTTCACCTTCTCCAGAGTGTAGCTTGCTCGTTCAATGATCTCTGGGAAATATTCATCATATCCTTGGATGACAACCTTCAGCATGTCTGCAGGAAGGGAGAAGTGGGAGCAACTGGACTGTGCAAGGGCCACAGAGCTGCAGCCCTTTAGCCAGCCCTGTGAGGTCAGTGCAGTCTGTGCCCTGTGAGGTCAGTGCAGTGTTAATGGGAGATGTCAGCCATGGCAAAGTATGAGGAGGATAGGGAGAAGACGAGAGATAATTAGGAGGGCATAAATATAAATAGTTACCCCCAGACATGAGGG